TTGAAACATGATAGAGTCGCCGTCTGAATCCTGATCGTTTGGGTTATTATGACTTTGTTGTTGTCCCATATTTATAAATCAATCTTATAATTGCTTTTAAAAGTTTTATAATTAATAATAATAATAAATAATATAAAGAGTTGAATGAACAGCTGTTATGTAAAAGTGGTAGAAAATTGATTTAATAACATAATGATATTAGTAATATCAACAAATATTATTTTAGTCAATACTTACTGTTTTGTTTTGATTTATATTAGGTGTATGATTTATTGAGACACCCAAAATAAAAAGCAGATCCTAGTTAAAAATAAAGTTGCTTGAGGAATTTAATTTAATTTTTTTTCAGAGTAAATAAAACTTATTTTTATTTTTGAAAATTATATTTATTTATTTATTATAATATATCTAATAAAAATTGCTTGTTTTTATTATTATGTGTAAATAATAATTGTGATAAATAATATTGTTAAGCAATAAATAATAATAATATAAATAACATAAATAATATAAAGAATGTTATGCTACCCAAAAAAAATCCTTTTTTATCTTTAAGACAAGAAAAAAAATATGGTGCACAAAAGAAAGGTAAACATTCACTCATTCACTAATACTAACTTACAATCATCGTAAATTGGTGGTGATCTATATTTTATAAACGTAACACGAAATATTAAAGTTCAGATCAATGTATTCAATGTATTTAGATTGACCGACCGACTTGTTCACATGACGAGAAGTAAAAAATTACATTTTCTTGGAAAAGAATTTATTTATTATTTTTTTCTTTACTTCATTCAATTATATAAAATACAATCGAGATGGATACAGAATGGAAAGATTTGACCTTAATTAATTTGATAGACTGGTTGACCAATATCAAGCTGTTCCAAATTCAGATCAAATGCCATCTTTCACGATATAATTAATTGCTTGTTATTCCAGGATGGGCTTTCAATAAAAAAAGTATGTAATATATATATATATTGAAAATAATTGATTCTAATGATTGCCTGTCGCGTCGATACTATGATAATAATATTATTAAACCTGTTTTGTCAATATTTGCCGCCACATAATAATTGACATAAAATTTAGAGAGTATGATGACACAAATCTGTTCTTATGATCAGAAAAAAATATTGGTCAAACCTTACCATTCATTGTCATATAGTCCATACTGATATGTTGTACTGTATCTTAAATCTCTGATAATTTACTTTTAAAATTTTTTTTTTAATGTCTATATAAACTTTGGAATTCTATCAAAATCTCTTACATTTATCACAAGTGTTAGCTAGCGAATTTGATTCAAATAAAAATTAGACCAAGACGAAGTCTACTAATTTTTGTTAATCTGAATTATATAGAAAGAAAAGATTAATTAATTATTATGTCTTGTTGGAACTAATAGCAAAATATTTTCACTTTTTTGGTTTTTTTTTTAGTTAAAACATCCAAATTTAACAATTCTTAAACGATCTCGTAATTAAATGGTTATCAACTTTTCCCCAAGTAAATAAATAAAAGTGAACTGTACCCGTCTATTTAACATTATTCACAAACTATTTATCCAATCAATTTCATGTTACACTGGTTTTCAATTAATTCAAAAAAATTTTAGAGAAAAATTTTTTTTGAATCGATAAATAGTGGGTAATAAAAAAACAAAATATAATTTACGAAGTCAATCAAAAAATAATAATAATAATTAATTTATTTTTCAGTTTAAAAATATTTTTTTTTGATATTAATTGAATGCAAGA